TCGGAAAGTAAATTTTTGTAGCGTGAGAAACTTCGTTTTGCATAAACTGATGTTATTATTGTTATTGGAACTTATTTGAAGAATGCAAGATCCTTAACCTTTAAATCTTCTTCTATTCCTTCCATAGTACCAACCTCACCGGAATGTATTTTCGAAATTTGTACTAAAGATTTAAATCCTTTATTTTTTCAATWACGTTCTAAAATTTGTCTTAAATTTCTTTTCCTACTTTTCCATTAGCCATTTTAGGAGATTCTCTTGGAATATTGATAACTTCAATTAATTTGAACAACGTCAGTCCTGATGATTCTAATTTTGTTATATTGACAGGTAAACATCTAAAATTTGACTGAATATATGTTAAGTTTGGGCCTAAATTAGGTTCAGCAATAATCCTAATACTTTTTTCGATTGAAACTGCTTCATATAGATTYAATTTTGAAAATACATTGTGTATACTTATAAAATTATCAGAGWAGTATAATCCAAAATTAGACGTTATCTAATAAAGTACAATAATACCGAACAAACACGATAAGTCGATAATTAACATTTATATTTTAATGCCCCGAGATGAGCGGGGGTCGTGTATGACGTGCAGGGTCGAACTAACAATAAAACAAATTCCCACGGAATTTCTTGCATACCTCGATGCAATAAATCGCAATCATCTATCCAGCGATTTATACGACATACTGGGACCTGTTTTGCAATCACCTGACATATTCGTGTTCCTCCAGGAGGCAAGATTAGACAAACTTATTTAACCAATTAAAAACACAACCTTATTATCATTATATGAATATAATTTAGACATATTTTATTGTTAGTATACCTTTTCTATTATTATTATGTAACACCTTTCAAAAATAAAAAGTATCTTATCCCAATGGCTAAGTTGGCGAGGGTTATTTCTTTAATAACAAAAATAAATAAATATTTTACCTCAATGCGTAGTAGTTTGAAATTGCCGCCGATAAAAATTATACATAAAAATTGTGTAATTAATTGTGTAGTTTGTTAATTTAAATTGTTTTAAAAAATAATGTACTGAAATAAGCAATTTTATTTTTA